CCATCCATCCATCCATCCATCCATCCATCCATCCATCCATCCATCCATCCATCCATCCATCCATCCATCCATCCATCCATCCATCCATCCATCCATCCATCCATCCATCCATCCATCCATCCATCCATCCATCCATCCATCCATCCATCCATCCATCCATCATCTTTACCCGCTTCTTCCTTTTCAGGTCGCAGGAGTCACTGGTGTCCACATCCAGCAGTCACTGTGTGAGAGGTGGGGGACACCCGGACAAGTCTCCAGTCCAGGGACACATAGAGACAAACAACCACTCACTCTCTCACTCTCATGTGGACTTAATTTTTTTTTTTAGGTTTTCTTTTAAACTGTGACTGTTTTATCTTGAGTTGCTTTAGTTCATTTACCTGGCACGGTGGCTCAGTTTGTAGAGTTGTGGCCTGTCAGCGAGAAGGTTGCAGGATTCAATCCTGGCCTGGGGGGTCTTTCTGGGTGGAGTTTGCATGTTCTCTACATGCATGTGTTTTCTCCAGGTACTCCGGTTTCCTCCCACAGACCAAAAACATGCATGTTAGGCTGGTTGGTGACTCTAAATTGTCCCTAGGTGTGAGTGAGAGAGTGAATGGTTGTTTGTCTCATTTGTCTCTGTCCCTGTGATGAACTGGAGACATGTCCAGGGTGTCCCCTGCCTCTCAAACAGTGACTGCTGGATATGGACACCAGTGACCCTTGCAACCTGAATTGGAAGAAAAGTAAAGATAACAGATGAATGTTTGCTGTATTAAATCAACATTTGGAGAAAATAAAGCAAGTAAATGTAACAAATGGTGTTTGTTGATGCTGAAGACCCAAGAGTGCAGGCAGGTATAATTCAAAGAGGAAGACACACACACACCAAACAGAACTGAACAGACTTGTGTGTACGGATCGGATCCATCATGGACCCAGATGGAGTTTCTCAGTCATGTGGTTGCTAAGGGTACACCTGTCTATGTGGAAGATGGGCAAGGATTACCTTTCTGGAGAACATACACTGAGACACCTTCAGAAAGCATCACCCCGCTCAGCCTGGTTCTTCCAGCCTCAACACAATCCCAGGGTGCAGCTTCAGCCGGACTGAATGCTCCTCTAAGTCCCACTGTTTAGTTCCACAGCTCGAATGGAGACACTTTCTGCATTGCAGCTCCAACGTCCCAGCTGCTAAAACACAGCTCCTGCTTGGGAATCACAAGATTCCTGTTCCTGAGACTAAGGGGAGTCCAAAGGAACTCCTTCTGCTAAGTTAATGTTCCTCAGGTCATGATCAGGTGAGGTGGGACAGGGGACTCCTCCAACTGGCTGAAAATATGGAAAACATATGACCAGAAACCTCAGATAGCTGATTTCTGCAAACAACCAAGATACTCTGAAACACTGACACCAGGAATGTAAGACATATAAAACAAATAACCAGTGGCCACTGGGCCACATCATTCGCCCCACAAAGCAGTTCCTCCAAACAAACAATGTAAATTATTTATTATTGAGCTTGCTGTGTATTGTTTTGTCCTGTGTATTTTTTAACTATCTGGACAATTTTTTGTGGAATTTAAAAGGATTTTTAATGATTTCATCCTCAGTTTTTTACTTATTTGCCATTACGGGGCAGTGCCATTCAACGACACACATCCGTCAAGCAGATCTGCACGTGTGGTCAGTGATCCGAACAGGCAGGTCCAATAGTTTCATTTGGGATGTTGATTTTCTGCCCTGTTATCACCATCATCATCATCACTTTATTGTCCACTTAGGGAAATTTTCCTTGCAGCAAGGTGGCGAGAAAATTAAAACACAACACATAAACAATCACACCACAAAATTGTAAACAAAAGTAAACAAATCCATGTACAAATATGAATAAAACAGGCTGAACAACAAAATCAAGCCTGGTTACATTTATAATTTATCTGAAATCTGTGGACACATTCGGCTGGTTTTAGAAAACTGGATATGACCTCTACCTGGACCTGACCAGAGCCCTGTAAAGAGAGAGTTGCGACACTCTTTGAACTCGCCGATACGCGGTCACGTGGTTCATGCAGCTCCCCATAGTTCCAAACAGTTCATCGCTGTCAGTCAGTTTGAGCGGCTGCTGGCGCAACATAACACAAAAATCGACTTTTCTTACTTTACCTGACGTCTTTCAGTAATTATTGAGCAGTAACGAACTGATTACTGAACTGATTATTGATTATTTCACAGACTATGCATTTTATCAAAGCATTTTTAGAAGCAGCTGATACATTTATCATTAAATTTTAGAAGGAAACGAGACTGCAAACACATATTTGTTAGAAAAATAATGTATATGCAATACAATGATCAATATAGCCATGTCAGTGTTTTATAACGTTACACACGTTAAAAAAGATCAGAGTAACTCCTGTTATAAAGCTGTTTCTGATGTTCTCTGCATGAGAATGCTCCACCTTGTCCTCCAGCAGTTCAGATCTGCTCCAGCTTACCTCAGATCATCTGGATGAATTCTTGATTTCTATAGAAGATATTAATTCAACCTTTATTTAAACAGGTTCGTCCCATTGAGCCACGAGGACTCATTTACAAGAGAGACTGAATATAATTGTTGTATTTGGCGTTTTTTTATGGCAACCAAGTACCTGATAACTGAGTTGATTGTAGCCTGACAACTATTGGATAAATTGTAATTCATTGATTAAAATGTTAATTTAAATGAAACCGTTTCTAGTTAAAATCATAACAGATGACAAAATAAGTGTTAACTGTGCAAAAATAAATTTCCAAACAATTTATTATAAAATATGTAAAATGTAAAGCAAGCTTTAATAAAGTACTTTTACTGACATTTATACTGTTTATTAATGACATCATCTGAAGTCAGCAGGAGCACCATCATCATCATCACAACAACACAAAGTGAGAGCTGTAAATTTAATCTGTACAAACATTTTCAATCAGAGCTCAAAATGTTTAACTGTCAAAGAAATGTGCAAGAAAATAAACTAATGTCACTCTACAGACACATTTAGAGAGAGGACAGTTCACAGAGACACAGTGAGGACGTGTGAGACTGAAGGAGGTTCAACCATTTGTTCATGGACCAGAACCAGATGAGAAGAACAGCAGAACTTCCACTGACCAGTGATCTGACCAGTGATCACACATGTTGTTCTAAATTAAACTTTGGTACGAACAGTGTTAAATAAGACATGTCATATTTTTATTGAACAATAATCTTCATTCTAACAGTGACATTGTAATTTCAGAGACTGAGGAAGAAACAGAAATGAGGCGAGTGAGATGAGAGACAGATGAAAATGTGTCCTCAGAGGACGGGGACATGTCAGGATCTGATGATCCAGGATCAACAGGGCCAGGATGGATCAACAGGACCAGGAGGATGGATCAACAGGACCAGGAGG